AATCAGTGATAGCCGAGGAGTGCGTCTTCGCGGCTGGTCGCAGCAGAAGCTGTCTGGTAAGTAAGTGCACTTCTGCCTGGCTCTCTTGAATCATAGAACGAGCGTAAGCTCTGCCAAGGAAGGGAGGCAGAACTTAAAAAGGAACTTGCTGAAAGCATCAGAGGAGAAGCCAACGTTTCGCTAAACTTAGCTTAGCCTGAAGCGCGTCCTTGTTTACGGCTCTGAGGCTTTCTCGTTATTCATTTTCTTATATAGCTTGTTAGGCAGGTTATAAATAAACTGAGACGCCAGTTTTATCTATTTCCTTTGTTCAACGATTGACTTTACCCATTGCTCAATTGCCCGTAACGCTGGGTTGGAGTTACTTGCCGAAGGGGATACGATTGAAAATATTGGAGTTCTACTTCGCGAAGCAACTGAGGTAATGTATTCGTCGTTTCAAGGACTCATTTGCAAAATAACCAGTCAGCGTCCAAACTCTAGATCCCAGATCTTGCGGTTCCCAGGCCGAAAAGAAGTCACTCCCCTACACCCGACGGCGTTGTACTCTGGAGTGACGGTACTGGAATCCAACTCCTATATGGTTAAGGTAGAGGACCGCAGTCTGGGCGCACTGGATGTTGTCTGCTATACGGTAGGCGGTCAAGGGAAACACGATGCCATTTACATTATACAAATCACTTTATATAAAGAAACTAAAATTATTTTAATGGTCAAGAAGTACAGTGAAGTATCGACGACATCCAAAATAAGTAGAAGGGGCACCATCCTGTGCCCGTTTCAGGGGGTTTAAAATAATGATAAGTATAAAACTCTCCTTTGTCTCGTCAATGTTTTCTTAAAATTATCTTGGACGTACTTTTACCCTTGCCACATTAAATCCCACTTGTTGGTGATTCTCGCGCTGTGGACGCCATTTTGGTTGATCGTAAGATGTTCCAAGTATCCTAGAGTAGTCTGGTCCTCGCTGGTGCTTCAGATGCCTTTCCTCTTGGCGTGCCCCCCCCACCCCCCCCCCCCTCCCCTTTTATTTCCCGAACAAAGATGTTGATGCCGCAAAAATTCAATGTTATATTGAAGGCGATGGTCGAAAAGAAATAACGCGAGAACTGATCAGGTCAAAGAAATGGAGGGCGGTCACTAGCCATGAGGTTGAGAAATGCCGCACGCACATATCCTGCTTTTCCTCGAACGCGGTATCCGACAACCTGACACGAAGTCTTCCGTGACGTCATTTGTTGCCAATTCGGCATCGCTTTTGATACATAGTGTCTACAGGACGCTAAACACGCACCAGTCTGAGCCGGTTCCAGTCACCATAATATCGCAGCTTTACCGCAGAGGAAGCGTTACGTAACCAAGAGTTCAGTTGTTCACAAGATCCCCACGAATAAATCCACAATTTTGCTAACGCGTGCCAGATGCCCTTGGTTGGTTGGGCACGCACGATCTTAAATTTGCTTTGCAGAATGACTGCCGACACTTTTACACCATCGAAACTATCGTTACCCTCAGTTACTCAAAGTGAGGGCTGTGCAGGAATAGCTTATACCGCATGCAGAAAAACCAGCGGCGTGTGCAGGAAGTGCTGTCGACTGATGTTACTTCATAACGGGCATTTTGACGTTTCAGAGCACGCGCGCGAGTTGCGCTTTTCACTTTATTGCAACAGAACGTTTTTTTTCTCACACAGCCCATTGGCGAAGAGAATCCTCTTGTCCTTCTTGTTTGCATTGACGTCATTTTCGTCGATGGAGCTCGGCACACGGAACGAAAACGAGTGCTGCTTTAACGTTCGTCTGGGGCTTGTGTTCAATATACCCTTTTCAATATTTAGAAATGACGCATAGGTTATATGCGACCGCCATTAATTGGTCATGAACCGTGAGCACGCATCGGACACGAGCGCTTCGTAAGCATTCGGAGCGTACTCGAATCGAAACGGATTCCATACGAGTGCTGCGTCAGTGCTCGGCGTGAACTCGGAACCAATCACGGGCTTCACGCCGGAAGCAATGAAACCAACTAATGGCGGTCGCGCATAATTTATGAATCATTTCACAACTTCGGAAAGGACCTGCTGGAGCTTTCTTAATTGAGCACAAGCCCCTAACCGAAGGCTAACGAAGCGTTCGGATATGCCAGCCGAGCGTTGCGTCTGAAACTCAAACAACTATTTAATGTCATTGACGTCCTCATGGGCTTAGTTCTGGATTTAGCCGCTAGAAGCGCGACGGTTGAATCGAGCGCCATTAGCCGGTTGGCACGTAAGTTTCACAAGAGAGGCTCCGCCCCATAAGAAACAAAACTCCGCCCACTTCAGAAGAGGGCTCCAACTTCTGGTGACGCTTGACAATGGAAGGTGGTAAAGACTATCGAGTGACAATTTCATTAATTATATTGGGTGTTTGATTTGAATTCGAGCATATTTATTAAAAAAAAGAAAAATGGTGAAAGGTACACTATTGCTGTCTGTGCAGGGGGTAAGTAATATACGAGGATAAGTGCCAGGATAAACCGAATAATTAAATAAAATGTGTTCAGAGATATTTTAATTAGTAAAAACAAACATGATTGTGACTAAAATTCAATGAGCGTCATCTAAAACCACTAAATCCTTCAACCTGAGAAATATTTGAAGTACGTGGAAAACGCGGCGGTGCTTTAGTTTTCACTCGTTCAACAGGGGCAACGCTGGCGACTGGAAAACGGGGATGAAAAGATGATCAATCGCTTGTTCGTACCGCAGACGTTGCGCCTGTTCCCCAAATGAAAACTTCAGCGCAACCCCACGCTTACCACGTGCTCCAAATCCCTCTAGACTTGATTGATTTAGGGGTTTTAGAAGGCGCTCATGATGTACGTAATCGGGACCATATTTTTATTTTCAATAATTAAAAAAGGTGAATAACAAAGTTTAGTTAATCTTTCGACTTATCGCTACTGTTAACTCCCTGTAGTATGCCCCCCCCCCCCCTCCCCCCCGGCCGAATAACTCACCTGCGCAAGACGCACCACTGTAGCTTTCACGTTTTTTTTTTAATAGGTATTTTCGAATTAAAATTAAGCACTCCGTAGAATGTTTATTTTTAAGCAACTGTATCTGGTTATCGACCGATACGCTGTTAAGAAACAAGCCCGGGTTTGCCCACTCCGGGTGTGGGCAATGCACCTGCGCAGAAACCAAATTCGTCTGAGTCGACGCTTCTGCGCATGCGCACTACCGACGGCAGCTCCACCGCAAACGCGTGACGTTTGAGAGTGTAGTTGGCCCATAGGAGCACATGTTTCCCCATGCTCCATTCGGTGAATTTAGAAAAAAATGGCGCGTTTCTATTGAGTAAGTCATCTTTCTCTGCGCATTTGATGCGGGGATTGTGCAGGTATTATGCTGCAAAGTACAGTCTACAACAATACGGAAGACCGATTCGCCGTGGCAGTATATGCGGCTGGGTTGTTCAAGCTTCGGCCACAGACACTTCATTTTCTGAAAAAAAAAAAAGAATAAATCGAAAGGTTAATTTATTTATTAATCCCGAGGGGGCCGAGCCATGCGGGCCTAGCCAAAAAGAATTCAGCTTCAGTCGCCCAAAACTGTCTCGTCCAAAGGGTTTTGCATATTGTTGGCAACTAGACATTCCCCGTTTATAGTTTTTAAAGATGAATTGAATGAGTATAAACTGCTATAGTACACTAAAACGAATAAAAAACATCGACACGGGCAACAAATTGCACAGAACTTTACCGTTATTTAGAATGGTTGTACATGAAAGCTATTAGTTTCACCAATATCTAGAGTAGGTCAATAGTCTCTTTATACGAATGTAAAAAATGCATCCTGTACCGTCACTCGAACAATCGGCAGTGCAATGACATAGTCGTTATGAACAGACCCACATTATTATTAGATACCTAAAACACGTTGACCTCAATTTAGAGTTTTGCATGCCACGTGGCCCCTCAAAAGCTCAAAAGAAAACTTTTCATCAACTGCGTCTCAACGTCGCATGTACGAAGAAATGCCTACATCTTATTGGCAAACAGGAGTCACCAATGCTTTGTTCATGTTCTTCACCCCAAGATAGTGGCCATCTATTGTGCATATGCAAGAAATGCGATTCTGAAAGAAGCAAGTTAAAAATAGAGCTGGGACTAGGACCAAAGGAAAAACTTGAACTGCACCTCTTTCTTGGGCCTTGGCCAACTTCTGGAGACGGGCATGAGGCCACGAAAGAACTAATTTATTCTCTCTCTCATACTCAATTATTCAATCTGTTATAGAAGTTTGATGTTTATAATGTAAACATGTATTATTTTAGATATATTTTAAGCTCTTTTCTCTTGTTTTATTTTGTCTTGTCCCCCCCAACGCTACCGCCCTCTCCTTTGCGAAATAGCAAATTAGCCTTTTAGCAGGCTAACCTCTTCGTTACCGTAAATACACATCTATTATTTTTCTATAGCAATGTATTCTTCTCGACCCTTTCTACCTTGACGACGCTTCTTTGACAGTCTTGATGAACTCCACCAAATACATAGCGCGAAAAAAATGACGACGTACTTTCTATTCCACTCTTGAGCTGAACATCCTTAGGCTTGCGGTGTTTTAAACCTGCCAACAGCAAACCGATTTTTTCAGGAATGATAAGCAAGCGTTCGAATGTTGAATCGAATATGCTTTCTGTGCGGTTGAGCTGTTCAATACACTTGTTTTCAAATGACCTTTCGAAAAGAAAAAAAGAAGTTAACAATAACCTATCTAAAGTCAAAGCCGAGCCTTATCTATTTTTTCTCACGTGTATTGCACACAACGAAACAGAGGGACGTCATCTGTGAAACAATTGACAGTAATTCGATAAATTGTAATGGCTTGGCGGCAAGTTAAGCAGAAGTCTGAAGATGTGCATTCTTGAAATTCTACTCAATATTTAACTTATGTTAGACGTACATGGATGAAATCATAAGCTGGCAAGTTTTGTAATTTGTTTTCTTATTTTCAGGCAGCCACCCAGGACGGTCGAGTACAACGTAAGTAGGCTTTGATCTCAAGAAAAGGGTGTTGTTAATTGAATGTTGCAGTTACCTTAACTGGCATATTTTTGGAGGATCTATAGCACCACGCATAAACACTCGCTCTAAAATAAAGTGTTTGATGTACACAGTATAAATTACGCCGATAAATTTTTATACAGAAACAAGTGTAAGATTACCTAGTAGCAAGTCATCTACAAGGAAAGCGACAGCAGGTGAGGATTCGTGACGTATTGGCGACGTCTTTCATCTCCAGCGTTGAAATTGGCTGCCCACACACAAAAATATTCCACATCGTTAAGGGTGTAAAGTACTTTGTCTAGGAACTACAATCCTTTTTTCTAAGGTAGGCACCTGAGAAACGCGAGAATGGCAGCTTCCTAGAAACTTTGGGCAGCTCTCTAGGACTGCACTTCGCAGATACAGATACAAGTGCAAGTACTGAACCCACATATATCTACATACCAAAAAAAAAAAAAAAAAAAAAAAGATATAAAATACGAAGCATGCTCTAGACCTGTATTGCAATACTCTCGCCCGCGTCACCATCTCACCTCTCGACAACTTAAATGTACTCATTCGCCGCAGGACGTCTCATCTATTATTGACGTGTCACTTATGTTGCCCTTTTCTATACCATATCTAAAAAAAAAAATATTTTTTTTGCTGGTTTACCGAATTTATTTTTCGTAAAAAAACATTGAAAGGGGCAATCATTTTTCAACATCTATGCTAAAAGAACAATTGTTAAAGCTTTCTAAAAAGTGTAGATCGCCGCTTAACCACTTTGCATCGCAGCACCCATTGTCACACTCGTTTTACTCCCCTAAAAATGAGGGGTGTCCCACGCAACAGAACCCTATTTTACAAATATAAATATTTATTACTCCAGCTAAATGTACTGAAAAAGGGTAGAGTTCGTGTGTAAGTCTTTGGACGTACACCCCTAGGGGTGCAAATAGGTTTAGTGTACATTCTTTTTTTGAGAGCCAGTATATTGAGAATTCGAAAGGCACTCTCGTATAGCTAGAGTATATTTCGCATTAGGCTATTTTGTTCAAGAATAAATGGCCGCAGGTGTAAACTTTAAAATTGTGATGCGTAGTGTTTAACGCGATTTCATCGAAAGCCTCAGTACATATGTTGTTGCCCTCTCCCTAATTGATATATCTCGTTCGCGAAAGGCCGGTGCTTATCACAAAGATTATTGGATCAAACTAGATAATTATTACTATGGTGTCTCAATTTTAGTACTGTAGAAATTTGGGAGTTGCTTTTTATAATTAGAAAATAGTGCCACTAATAAATTACGAAAGAGCGCCTAGTCCAAGATCATAATGCAATCAATGCAAAGGTGCAAGCGAGCTGTGTTTGGAGACTTGTGTTTGTCCTTGGACCTCCCTTGCTCCTCTTCTTCAGAGTTTATTATCGTCACCCTAGTCGACATTAACTTGTCCCTACCTTTTTTGTTACATTGTTTTTTTAAAACATCATATCTTCCTCTATTGGCGACGAGATGTTTTGGTGGCGCCCTCCTATGGTTTCCTCTCCTGACCTCATCACCCTGCGAAAAACAAGTTCGATGGTGTTTCTAATGTCGGAGTCCCACTAGAGTGACACACAGAAACAACCTACAGCGACAAGCCTCAAACAAGATTCTTTTGCGATTTGACGGGTTTGTAGAATAAAGGAGGCTATTCTCAAACACGAGCATCATGCACGCGAGGCTGTCTTTGGCAGGCTTGCAGTCACTGGTGCTTACTTCACGAGCACCGAACGACTAAACGCTTGCCAAAGGTACCATTGCGAGCACGCTGCGTGTGTTGGATGCTTGTCCGTGTCGGTTGTTTTTGTTTGTCTCTAGTGGGACTCGGGCATCAGGAGCACGATGGAAGCTTGAAATCACTGCGTTCTGAAACCAACACTGCCAACGCCGCCAAAATTGAAGTTTTTACATCACTCTTACTTCCGTCGATGAGAAATCCTTTGCTGACGTCATAGTCAGCATTCGGCCAATCGTGGAAGGCCGACTACTGCGACGCTTTCGATCGCTCACGTCGCCAATAGGCGACGTACGCAATAAAAGATGCGACTGTAGTCGGCCTTTGAGAATTCTCAAAACGCTCTCTATGACGTCTATGGTGGGATTCATTCTGCTTTCAACGGCGAACATAAGAAGAATGTCAGGTTTTAAATTTTGATCGTGTTGGTTTAAGAATGCGATGACTTTAAATTTCCACTCTACTCTTTAGACACGCCATCAAACTTGTTGTTCGCGACCGATGATAATAAACCTGGACAACAACTGCCCTCATCACGATTGGATAATGGTTGTCAACATATTGCGATGTAGATGTAGCAACAACGTTTCGTCAAGGTAAGGAGAGTAAGTGAGCGAAAAAACGCTTGTTTAGCCGCGAGATTATGGGGGCGGTCGCACCTCAGCAGAGACCCGAGGCGAGGTATGGCCTCCTCGTGACGTCACTTATACAAACCGTAAGAGGGTACCACCGAAACGCCTCGCCGCTAATAGACGTACCTAAAGTCCAGACAAGTAAATACACACACGTATACTTCTCGCGGACCACTGTTGGCGACAGCAGAAGCTTCAGAAAAAAAAAAGAGTGAAAAAAAAAGCTCGACACTCAAACGTAACATTACCCCTCCTATTCCCTTGGTGACGGTTTGCGCAATGCCAACTGGAGCGCTGGGTTGTCATTAGCCAGGTGCGTTCTTTCCTCGTTTGTTGGCGTCTCGGTTCCTTGTTGATGTCGGGTTGGAGCACGCACGTCAAATTGCGCACCCTGTCCTCTCCAGGCTAGACAGGGACGTGACTGTTGGGTTCGTTATTAACGACCAGCCGAAGACCGACAATCTTGGACCAATCGTAATTAACAAAACCCCCTTTGTCACTGATTGCAAGAATGGCGCATTTGTGCTGAAACCTTCGGGGCCACACCTTCCATCCTCTATACCCCGTTACACTAAAGTTCGACCGCAGCTGATGTCACTCTCCGTCGAAACCGATCATGCAGCGCCAAAAAGTGCGGCGTCACTCCCCTTCCCTCCCCTCCCCCCCCCCAAAAAATAAAAAATAAAAAGAAGTAAAATTAAAGTGTATTGTCTTTTGATGAAGCAATAAACAACGCATCACCGAATCCTCAGTATCAATCCGAATGTAGCGCTTTTTGGTTGGTAAAAACTTTATTGAATGCCTGCAGAGCTTTCGCTGACCGGGCCTAAGTCACCCGCTTGGGGTCCGAACCAGGTGCCAAAGTTTGAAAACTTTCATTATCTGATTTCAAACTTATAACAAACTGTCAAAAATGACGACGGGAAAATGGGGCCCGTTCCAGGCAGTTGATGCCGATATATGTGTGGGCTTCGACGACGGCCATTTTCCCACTGAAAATTTCCAGGCGTACACTAGCCCGCTTTTGACGTCGTGCCGCTGCAAACGCGCGGTTCACTCACCAGTTATGGGCAAACGCGGGATTTTTTGTCAAGATCGCGTTGGCTTAGTATATGTGGCTGTTTTAATGTTTTGGCTACTTTACTGTCTCCTCATGCTGAATTAGACAAGCACGAGCCTAGTTTTTTTTTTTTTTTTTTCAGACTCCGCACAATCATTTCCGATATACCATTCTTAACGTGTCTGGTTTCCGGAATCGGATTAACGATATTCGCATTTGGTTATTTCGTGTGTCCCGAGAAGGCCGTAGACTACTTATTGGCACACTTTCTACCGCTGATCAATACATAGATGGTATTACTGAATAGTTTAATTGAGCAATAACTTAACTTGACTTTTACGTTTTCCTGGAGAGCCATTTTAAGGACACCCGTCCATCCTTCTTTATTTCAAAATTTCCTACGTCACCAAGGGTTACCGGTAGTCATCGCTCGATCGAAGCTCCTACGATAAACCTGTCAAAATCCGACGTCACTCCATTCACGCCCGCCCCCTTTTTACGGAGATTATCTAGCAACCTCTTCACCACGACCGGTGTGTCTGGCTCGCTGCTGAATCAACACGTGTCAAGAGACGTTGCATCGTGACGCAAGCAACTTTGATTTCCCGACGATCCGCCGCCGCCACTTCCCAGAAGAAAAAGTGAAAGCCCGTCGACATCTCACACCCTCCTCCTCTTACTAGCATCTATCGCCGTATTCCCTCACACAAATTAATGAGAAAGGGGCGAGAGGAGAAGGGGGTTTGTAGGGGGAGAGAGGCGCAGATCTCTGGTGATTGCCGGAGGGCTCGATCGGTGAGGTAGCTGAAGGCCAAGCTGCAGCAGCGAAGACGTCGACGCTTAGCCAGACACTCCTCTTCTGCTGCGCATGACATCTGCCCGAAACCGGCCTTGCTACTTATTTAAACAGGCAGTCCTCGTCGGAACCGCTCGCCTCCGTAGCTCGTATATTTTCTACATCCTTTCTGGCCTCCGGACATACGGTCTACGTGCTCGCCTCCGTTTGTGTGCTCCGCTCAGCGAGGGTTCAAGCTGATATCTTGTTTTTTTCGGTGGTGCTGTCGCTCCTGCTTGGCAAGTGTCTGCTTTAAGGTGCGTGGTAGTTTATGTCAATGTCCTGCTGTTGTCGTTTGGTTGTTTGTTTTCGTTCGATATTTTTGCAGTTTGGGGTAGTGTTTTTCGTGGCCTCATGCTTAAAATAGCGTCAGGGGGTTGTTTATGGTCAAAGCCAGTGTCAATGACCAGCAGCTGCTTCATTCATCGGGTTTATTTATTGAGGTCTTCAACCTATGCTGCAGGAATATCTTGCTGTTAGCCCGTGGTTAAGTTCGAATGTTAATGATGCCTGTGGTCTTGATGAGATCGCGACGTAGTTGCAGCCCGAAGAAGTGTTTTATGTTCGATATTAAAATGGAAGGATAAGCTGCTTGGTATTACATAATTCCTCGCCTTTTGTCTCTTTTTTCAGGCGTATATTGTTTAACGTTAAAGTAGTCTTCAGAGATTTAGGACGGCAGGCTCAAGTAGAATACTGATTTATCTTGAACGGTATGACCATCACGATGACGATTAATACTAGCGAAAATGAGCTCCTCTAATTTTGTTTTGAGCTCGCATTTAACCAAGTCTAAAACCTTTAGGATAAATGAAGGCTACTTGCTATTTTTTCGGTAGTTCGTCCCCAGAAGGATAGATAGCTGTAATGATTCATCAACGTTTCTAATATGAAACGCCATAAAATCTGAGAATGTTTGTCAGGTACACTCGGGCAGAAGATTCTTGTTTTTAAGGCTATCTTAAATTGTGAAATTTCCAGAACCTCAACCACTGTATTGTATGAGAGACATGCGACTGAGTAGCTGAATACGCTTTGCGCCTAACAACCTGACAGCGGCATATGTTTGAAAATGTCTAGAAGTATGACGAGACAATTAAGGGTAGAGCAGTTAGCTCATTGCTTGACTGTGTAATTTCCCTCATTCAAATCCTGCTGTGGAAATTGAGTAATGTCAACGACTTAACCACGCTTTTTGGGTGTCCTTTGCTCGCCATATCCAAGGAGCGACTTTACTGCCTGCCAAACTTTCCTACATTAAAGTTCTAGTCGTTTCTATTACCTCTGTACTTTCGCAATAGCTTGGGGCTAAAAAGGGGCGTGACTGCTTGTCAGATCGGGAAAGCGATTGATATAAAGTTTCGCTTTATCACGCGAGAGAAGGATTAGTTTCATTTCAAGTGTAGTTTTGATTCTGCTGTAGCCATTTTCAAGCACGACTTCAAAGGTTTACTGGGGTGTATACACTTAATGTTTGCGTGCTTTGCCCGTGGTGTTGATGTCGTCTGGTCACGGATCATGTTAAGAAAGTGTTGGTTATCAAAGGCCGCTTTTCCTTAACGTAGCTATTCTAAAATATATATTGAACAATCATTTTTATTTTATAGAATGTGTAACATTGATTGGTATCTGTTATTATTTTAATTTTATGAAACACAAAGGTTTTGGCTGCGCGTGACGTTATTGGAAACGAGCAAACTTGACGCTTTACTGTGAGGGGCGCTTTTTCGGGTTGCGATACTAAGAACATCGGAACCTTGCACAGGCCACGGGGTTTGATTCTGAGAACACCCCATTAAAATTAACGAGGCTCTGCAATTTTTTTTGCGTCAACCTTCCGGCATTTTATAGCCTCAGTCTGAAGGTCAACATAAAACACTTCGCCGGTTTCCTCATTCTTTAGAGTGTTTATTTTGTAATTAAGAACACCCTCGTTTTGACTGACATTTTCTTTTTCCCTTTAACCTTGGTTACATCTGTTTCCAAGGAAGAAAGTGATGTATTTATGGCTTCAGTTTGCTCCAAGACATTTATTTCTTCAAAATTATTTTCGGTATATACATAAAACAAAAAAACTTGTAAAAACTTAAGATTCTAACGAAACTGTTGTTGAATTTATGATTTCGGTTTCCAAAGATATATTTCGTGAAAATTGTGTGTGGTACACAATATTTGCTACGCTCTTTTATCTTCATACCAAGACGCTTTTGTCTGTGAGCGTGGCCAGTCAAGTGTCCTTCAGACTTGTTAACACGTGCCGAGTTGAAAACAAAGGAAACAAATAAACCAAAATGTACGTAATAGGTGTGCTGTGCAGCGTGACGTAGATAATCGTTGTTTTCACCACATCTCAGCTTATTATCCCCCATTTACTTTCGCTCTCTCCACCCTCCCCTGAGACTTACCTGCCGAAGTGTTGCCCAAGGCGGCTTTGTCGGTTAGTTTGTAGCGGTGCTTCTTTCCTGGCAGAAAAAATGACAGTGGAAAGTTTCAGCTGCTTCTTAAGTTCAATATTTGCGTGGCTTATAATTTGTAATACAGCTTCAGACCTCGGAAGTCTCAACCAAAGATGGACCTGCGCCAAACACAACGAGTGTAAACTTAAGGTGCCCATATTTTTGATAAGATCCGAACGGCTACTAAATAGTACAAGTAGATGTCAAGTTCGGAAAAGCAGGAGACGCATTGTCTATTTTAGTTGATGGCTCCTGCAACCGTTCTACATCTACCTTTTTGTTGCAACGTCCCTTCAGTTGCAACGCCAGTTTATTCTGAAAGGTGTTCTTAGACTGTCTTGTCTAGAACAAAATTTGCGCAGACGGATTCTCTACCTTCGCTGCAGTGGGTCAGGGTTAGCAGACGCGATGTCAAGCCATGATTCACGCGTCGATCATCACCTATTGCAAATACTTGGCTTGCTCAAGACTTGTCAACCTCGAAGCCGGGGGCGTAGTTCGCGAATATTACCGCTTGGAGGGTAATAAACAAATCTAGAAAACGGGTTTTCGGACAAGGAAATCTCCGGAGTCGTCGTATGTAGTCCGTCAATGATGCGATTTTCCTCGCGGAAAGAGTGCCTTCTGCTTCTTTATGTTGGCCAATATGTCTCGTATAGCTGCACTTACGGTATTCATTGGCGTTTACTTTGCCCGGAGCGTAGTCTCCAAAAAAAAAAAAAAAGGAAAGGGATTTGAGGGAAATCGCCGTGGCAAGTGGTACTTATTTGCTTTAAATATGAGTGATATCCAGATTGTGGCGTTGGGATGGACCCATTTCAAGATAGCAGTTATTTTGACGAAAGCCGCACACAATAAAAAAAGGGCGACCTCAGTTTTTTGGGGTCTTCCAGTTTCTTGAGAATGAGATCTCGGGGTGGCTGCCTTGACTATGGTTAATTATGCTATTTAGGCAAAATTATGGACGTACGAGGTGTTAGAGGTTGCGTGTGCAAACGCCGGGAGCCGGTTATTTACCGTGCAACTAAAATTTAGAAGCGGGGATTTGTTTCAGGCTTCTGAATCTAAAAATATGACGTCCTGATTGAAGTTACCTGGTGTTCTAAAAATATCCAGCAATTTTTATTTTCGTTTTTGCTAGAAATAAGACATTGTTTTTGAACACTGAACCGGAAGGAAATGATTTATTTAGAACTTAATTCGACCCGTGTTTAAAAAGAAAATGTCTACATAGTGAGTATTACGCATCATGATATTAAGAGCATGTTCAGAAATTGGCAATAGTTTCAAGTAATGAACCCTTGTTATATAAAGATAGCTAGGTTGTTCAATCCTTCTATGAAGGGTGTGCTGGTACCATTAAAGAGCAGGGAAAGGTCTGGATAATAAAATTATCTTGTCGTGTTCAAACATTTTGTGGATTTCATGCCAGGAAATGCATGTTACTCATGCAAGCATCATGAGGGGCTGTGAAATAAAAGCTGGTAGTGAGAGAACCCGTTGACCCTTTTCCCGTGTGCAGCCTCTCCAAGTCGTTACGCAACTTTTTGTTACGTGTTGCAGTGCTTTTTTATTCATTGGAACTTTTTAGGCCTCACCTCCACCATGCTCTTCAAATAAGAAAGGTTAGCTTCATAAGTACATTTTCTTGCAGCACGTGGAAACAATAAATTGACTTTTTCTCCATTCATTTTGAAGTGTTTATTCTTAGCACTACACTCGTCAAGATTTGAATGTCAGAGGAAGATACTTTTTCGTCTTTCAGCCTTGTTTGTTTTGATAGATAAATGGATAAACCTTAAAACTTAAATGGATATGCTATCCTAACCACACAAGAAGAGAAATTAGTAACGTTCTTCGAAGACCCGGAATTTTTCATACAACGGTTGATGAGGTTGAAGGCAAAGAAAAGTTAGTAATAGTCAATATTTCCATAGTTCCTCCGAAACCTACACCCTTGACTTTATGCGCTGCTTTAGCAAATTAGAGAAAAATATCTGACGTTTTTTTCGCTTTTTTTGTCTTCCACAGAGACGTTCCCAGGATGTGGCGTCTCTTGCTGGTGACACTTGCGGCGCTGGCATGCGCCTGGGCTTTGCCCCAGGGTGACGGCATCGCCGGTAAGTACGGTGGCGGACGCTTACCACCCCCGGAGGTTCTGCCGCCCGTCCAGCAAGACTTTCCTCCGCTCGACATGCCGCCCGTCCAAGGCGGTGGCGGTTATGGTCAGGGCGGGGGCGGACTGTACGGTACGCATTGCCACTATAGTAGAGGGCGCCACAAGTGTAATCCTTACGGCCAATTCACACACTTGCGTTTGCTTAGGACCGAGCTCTCGAGACCTCTTACGACGAGAGAGCACGCTGGCACGCTGGAGCCATCTATGAGGTGACCCTGGAACTGCATTTCACTAGAGCGAGTGTGTTTCGGTATTTGCGAGATCGAATCAACATGCTATGTTTGAGAAATGGTCATTTTTTAACATCGCCAAAATATAAATAACTGATGCGCCAGAAAAGACATATGCAAAAAACTCTGTGGTCCATGCCTACCCGATACATGGCGCCAGTGTGTTTTCTCGCAGCAAGAAATTTTAGGAGGTTTAAAGGCATATAGCCTTAAGCTGTCGCAAGTGTGTGAACCAACCTCTAAACGAGAAAAAGTTAGCAAATGGTGGACGAATCAAGGAAGGCGTACGGGCTCTATACTGTATCCAGTGTAGCGCGATTTTGTAATGGACACTTCGTCAGTCGTACGGCACCTGACTCCGAAAGGAGTGACGGGAACTGGCTGTAGCAGATGACTGAGGATGCGCAGTCGAGCGGGTGAGGGCGGGCGACCAACTGCGCTACCCCCGTCTTGCGCTTTCTCCCTTCAGCGTCACGTGATAGATCAACAGCTCCTTGATAGCAAGTTCGCAGGGTTCAATTTTGGACGCCGCCTGAAGAGGCAAACGCAAATTGGACACGAACTGCACCAGCGTTCGACTGGAACTCGTCTCCTCACTGATTGGACACGAATCTGAGCCGAACGCTGACAAAAAACTCGTTGCCAATCAGCGCCCCGGGTTTACCCCTTTCCGTGATGTCGAAACTTCAGCAGTTGTACCTTACTTACGTGGTGTTGGGAAGATGCTGTGAGGAAAGGAGCACACAGGATCATTCTTAGTTGTCGCGGTCGGTTTTGGCAAAAAGGGTTAATTGGACCCAAGCCTTGTCAAGTCGCATCTCTAGTGTCCCTTGATCTGCGCTGCCGAGATCCTTGTAACGAGATACCAAATAAATCATTATGGACTTTGATGCTCCATTCGCCGCTGAGCTGAGTGGAAGGTGGAATCTTCGTTTGTGAGGGCAAAACCGCTAAAAACAACGAACAAGTAAAAGAAACGAACAACAGAGCGCTACTTCCAACTGAAGTTTATTCTCAGAAAACACATATATATAGACCGTGAAATCGCGACATGTACTACAGAAATGCGACATCACCCAATCAGTGCGACATCACCAAATCAATGCGACATCACCCAATCTGGAATCTTCGTGCGCGCCGTAGCAGTCGATTGCTTGACTTTTATCGCCAAGCCTGGCTTTATGCGCTTGAGAATACAGCGAGCGTGATCACGTGGTGAAAAGCCGACAGTTAACTGGTCCAACCAGCTCGTAGCATGTGCACCCCTGTCGGCTTGGTTGTAAACGAAGGGTTGCGCTAAAATCTTAGCACCAGGTCGTACGCGTGCCTTCATTCGTCCTTGTATTGTTCGCGCCATTTCGCTCGTCTGAGTAATAATAAATACACGGCTTGCACTGGCCTCACATCAGCGGTCATTGTGGTGGCCTTGCAACAAAACGTGCGCCTTCATTGGCATACATTTCACACTCCCAAATTTATTTTTCTTGTCAAAAACAAGTAGGAATGACCAGCGGCATGATACGAGGACTTCATGTCAAGCAATGTCTACGATTACCCAAAGGAAAGCTTTAGTGTAAGGTTGCGTGATTGTTTGACAAAAGAAGCAAGGATGCAAGTGAACTGACCTTGAAGGAACAAACAAGGAACTGGCAAGAGAAAACACTTCTACCTGGCGACAGCTTTTCTGAGGTTTTTGCGAGCAGAGGACGGAGAGCGCGCACAACTTTAATCAGCACTCAAGATGGGGGAGAGCATGCTTGCCGGTATCTTTGACTGCATTGCCAATATCATTGTCTCCGGGTTGAGTCTTGGTTCTAAGCTCATCTTGGTATTTTTGATTGCATAGCTCTTATAACGACCGATAATTTGTTTTGTCGGTGGTAGGCTGAGTGAAACTATTGAATAAATGAATGGTAGTGATGTATATTATTTGTTGGCTTGTAGGGAGGATTCGATCGCATTCCTCCAATTGTAACTCTTGCTGTTGTCATCTTTTGTGGTACAATTTTTTTTACACAATGCAGCACAACTTGAGCAAATAGATACATACGTTTTGTGTAAATGCATCACAAAAGGAGATTAAGACGGAGCTGTAGAAATCACGTGACCTTCGAAATAATGGCGGATGTACGACTTCGTTTTCGAGTGGCGTCAAGGTGACCGGTCACTTTATTTTGCACTATTAACCTCGCAATCAATTTGAGTAACGTGAAGTAAAAATTTATTAATAAAATGTTTTAGTTCAAAATAGTTCAACTCAAGATTACCAACTAATTGATGTAGTTACTAACTTTCATTGTTCTCTGTTTACCTTGTAATCAAATTGAGTTTCTTGAAGTAATTAATTTGCATAAAATTGATTAGTTTCCAAGAATTCAATTGAAGACAATGAACTAATTCTAGCAGTCGCTGATATCTTACTGTCCCCCAATAACCTCGCAATCAAACTGATTTCACTATACTCAGTTATTTTTAATGTCACCTATTAACATCCTAATCAGACAACTAATAACCTTTTAATTATTAGTTTCAAGTAGTTCAACGTAACACAGTCTACTAATATCGAGCCGTAAAACCTTGCAAGAAAATATATTTTGAATCCGAAGTAATTTTTACGTACTAAAATTGAGCCGTTTTCATATGTTATATTATTCCAATATAGATCCAGATAATTCCAGTCTATTGAAATAACTTTCGATTTAGAGTTCACACTCTCATCGGCAACGTAATTAAGAATTGGGTGGCCGTGGGAACTTGCAGGCGGTGGCATGCAGCCTCAAGCAGGTGGCGGAGACTACGGTAACGAAGGTGGTGCGGCCCCCCCGCAAGGAGGCGACGGCGGGGACTACGGTGGCGGTGCTCCCGCGCCACCTCAGGATGGTGGCAACTTCGGTGGACAGGGTGACTGCGTCTGCGTGCCCTACTACCAGTGCAAGGAAGGCATGGTGTCCGAGGACGGTAGCGGGCTCTTGGACGCCCGCAAGAAGCCACCACCGAAGGAGGAGATTCCCCTGGTGAGGAGTGTGTCCTATGTCTCCACATGCTTTGTATTTTCCTTTGATGGGCCAAAGTAACGCCGCCAGGTCCGATCACGTGACCGCATGTGATATGTCCAATGAAGATATAGGACATAAACTATAGAAGGCATATATGAGGTGCTTAAAGTTCGTGTATGACCTTGTATTAGTCCCATCGTGTATTCGGGTGTTTTGAGCCAAGAAAGCATGCGAGCCCTTGAACGCATTCAGTATTATTTTAATGGGTCGAAAGTGGTAAACGCGTCGAAGGAAGATGTTTTTACGCGAAAAGGTTAGGAAACAATCACCGCTCCAACATCTTTGATTTGAGTAAATAACTTTTTTTGATGCATTTGCCATTTGTTTTGGTTAGTATATTGCTATTCGAGCTATCTTGTGTGCTTTTACCTGTATAGAATGCAACATATACTTTCTTTGATCTTCAAAGTTCACGTCCAATGATGGTTTTAATGGATTTTTTTCTCGCGCGTCACTTCCTTTTCCCAACATATTTTGTGTTAGACCTACTGTGCATGCTTTTACGTGTTGAATGTATGTGTTTGGCAATAAGTGCACCCTTCTGTAGTCCCACGGGTTGTTAAAGGCACCCCAAAAGTATAAAAAATATTGTCACGTGTTTACTGAATACACACATATACTTTTGTCACTAGGGCACGTGCCGTGTGTTCCACTGAGCAGTTTGTCTCGGTGCACGTAATCTATTTATCTGATCGACTCTTCTGGTATTTCTCCTAAACGGATAGCGAAATTGTTACGAGTAACTTGTATTTTCTAGCCCTGAAATTAAGCCTAAATCGTTGCCGACGGATCGGTTTGCTTGGTAATGGCTATGCCGATTATGTAGGTAATATTTTATTCGGAAACAACACCATTCCAATTGATTTATATACAAAATTAAGGCAAAACTATATTCACTCCAAACACCAGCAAACCTCGTCGATTCTTGAAATAGACGTTGTTTTGGCACACCTATTGTATGGAAGCAGTTCTAATTTATTTAACTGATTAATATCTTAGGACATTAGCAAGTAGACATGCATAATAATTATGGGGGGTTTCGTGGTGACAGTATTTTCCCTGGAATTTTCGTGATACTGTTTCGTGATGTTACGTTACTCTCGAAGACTGATGAAACTAAGTTCATAAAAGAAGCGTTAGTTCATGATTTTATTTTAAACATAAACCAAAGCTGCATAATTTTAGGAAGTATGAAGTGCTGGTGCCGTTTTCCACTGTTGCCTTAAAAGCACCGTTTGTTTGATACTGTTAATGTTTTTTTCCTCAAGACACTGTCTGTCGTCCCAAAAGTGTTAAGATCATGGTGTGTTGGGAGACATCGGAACAGTGCCAGCATGATAGTGCTGAACTCGACATGTATCATGTTCACTAAACTACTTATTTCGAATTTTGATTTTTATACCGAAAGTCAAAAGTGAGAGAATCATCCACCTGCACTGCGGTTTGTTAATAAATAGAATTATAATACTCCCAGAGAGATCTATTCAGAACATCTCTTGGTAATAAATAGAATTGTAATACTCCCAGAGAGACGGGTACATATATTCAGAGCATCTCTTGGTAATCATTGTTCTTGGTGGCTCGTCGTGCAGGATGGACTGAACGACCAGAAGTGTCCCGGAGTTGACCAGATTTGCTGTGCTGAGCCGAGCGCCGTCACGGAGCAGCCCTACGTGGCTTCGTGTGGCATCCGTAACGACAATGGTATTAACAGCCGCATCCTCACCAAGGACGGAAAGGGGGAGGCCGAGTTCGGCGAATGGCCTTGGCAGGTACGCCCAATTGAGATCTTTGCTTGGTGTTCTCCCAATAGCACAGGTATCTGAACCGAAATTTGGGTTTTGGTCTGGTAACTTGGGGGGCTTAGAAAACCCGAAGACGCCAAAGAACTAAACTTGACCTTCTTCGGCCAGAGTCTTGGCATTTTGGTGTTGAATGGCCCAAAAAGCGCCAGGTTTAGGCTTTACAACTAGTTTTTTGGCTCACACGCAACATCTTTGGCTGTCGTCTGACCCTTTGGCAATAATGTGACAAGCAAAAATAACACGACAAAAAAAATAAACCAGTTATAGTAATTTCAAAGAAAAGTAATTTGACTAACTCCTTGAAGCAAAACCAGATTAGGCCCAAGTTGTGCCTATAAAATTGCCAAGCTTATTTTAACTTGGGCAGTTCTCTTGCGTGCTACCTGGGCTTCAACCGTGCTTAAAATGGCACCAAAATCTCAACAAGTACTTGTCGCGGGGAAACACTTGAAGTTGTGTCAAGACACTAACCATTTTTTTTCAGCCGGTGTTGCTTTTCACTTTAATACCACGTGCCCTATGACGTCATATGACGTCACTGAGGTCGCGGGGGAGTAATTTCTTTCTCCAGTTTAGCTGTAGGGAGGGATTCCTCGTGACTATGCACTTAAAGGGATACTGAACCGAAATTTGGATTTCGCAAAGTAAGGCTGCAGAAGTGTTGAACGGGACGCTATGAACTCCAAAACATCACACGTACATCGATATCTCAAACAGATGGCCGTACTTTTGGAAAAGAAGGGCGCGATCAAGCGAGTTCTTTGACGTAACTGTCCTCCGGGAGAATTTGAAAATGAGGAGAAGCGGCCTCGCTTCTCTCCTCCTCGCTTCGGTTCACCAGTTTGACGGGACGTAGCGAGAAGGAGAGAGAATGGGAATCGTGACGTGCCTTGTCTCGTTGGCCTCGTCGGCCGGGTTCAATCGCGCACTTCTTTTCCAAAAAATACGGAGATCCGTTCGATATATCGCCGTATGAATGATATTTCTTGGTTTTGCAGCTTCCCGCCTATCCGCCCGGCCTTGTTTTGTGAACTCGAATTTTCGGTTCAGTATCCCTTTAACATCCGTTCGAATCGACGAAAGCATTGGTCTTGCGATAGCCTACAGTGTTTGAATTTTATCACTTAAAAGAATTTCCTTAGACGATCCTCTACTTTAGAAGCAGTTCGTGCATTACAACGTGACTGCACGTGACCATAAAAAAGAGTAAGAGCAGACCTGCAGATGGTTGAGCGTAAAGCAGAACTTCGTACCCGCGTTTCGATCAATGGTTCTCGCGCAAAACCGTCTTGTCTCAACAAAGTTGAGACAAGATATTTTTTTTCTTGATATTGGGGTATGTGTACTGAGGTGGAGTAAATATTTCAGAAAGCTTGACTTTGTTGTCGCCGACAAGGTAGATACAATTTATTAATTTTTACTGTTTCAACCTTAAAATATCCCACTATTTTCAACTTGTCGGTATGTCCTTGCTGTGCTCCGCGTGAGCATAAAATGCCCGCAGGACTAGTGAATTCATGTAAAGAAGTTTTCAGTGCATATCAGTGCATTTGTCGAGTACGTCGGAAGAGTCGGTCACCCTCTTCAACAACCGACAACGATTGAGCCGCTGGGTTTTGTAGAAAAATTTGTAGCCAGATAGATGTATTTTTACTATATGTCCACTTTCGTTCTCCTGAAGCATCTTCAGAGCGTGCGACGTGAATTTATGCCCCAATAAAAACGATCATGATTATAGTCTAATACAATGTATAATAACATATCTTAAATATATTATTAAATTGCAACTTTATTAGGGGTTATGTATTATCGTGTTAAGTGAAATTATTCCAAGGTTGCATTCTTTGGGGACTGCTTGCAATGTCTTATTTTTCTTAAGGCTTATATACTGCAAGAACAGTTAATAAATTTAGATAGATGTTGTTTCCTATTACTATTGTGCATGACTGCTGAAAAGCGTTTTGAAGTTAATTGCTGTAAATGGGGGGGGGGGGGGTAAAACTTTTTGCATGCAGAAGATGGCCCGATGATGTTTTCATATAGTGATGTAACCTTGAGGACCTTGAGATTGAACAAAGTGCTTACGAAAATTCGCGAAATTGTTAATGGGAAGTCGCGGAAGAAAATGTTTTGTATAACCTATTCTTCCCGTTAAACGACAAGTGTCTTTTAACTCTATGCGAAATTACAGCTTCCTGCTCTCACATTAACGTGGACTTAAGTTTTTTTTTATTTTTTTGGTTTAGGCGGCAGTCCTCAAGTACGAGAGTGAAATCCTGAAGTTTGAATGTGGTGGAACTCTCATTGGAAGTCGGTACATCCTCACGGTCGCCCACTGCGTTGCTCGATTCGTGTGAGTGCTATGCCACCTTTGTATGCCAGATTTTTACCTTTGAGCGCTACAGATGGCAAGTTCTTCAATGCTGTTATTGAACCTTTAGAGTTAATTTTCACCAAGTTCGCAAGAGTATTTTAAACAGTGTGCCATTTATTCTTTCCACGTTTAGTACATTTTTGGTTTGGTTATTTCCCTCTAGTAAATTATTAAAGATTCCGTTACTACTAATATGTTGGTTGGTTGGCAGAAGGTTTGTGTGCGAACCTTCAGCGAATTTGCTTACTACGTTTCACTGTTTAGTTTTAACACTAGATACTACACTCTACGATGTGGTGAGTTGCTATTTATTGTGAGGTGGTCTCTGACTGCAAAAATATAGTCGAAACCCCGGTTTCTGTGACAACCATTGGATTGTCTGAAGAAAGGTACAAAGGGAAGTAACCCGACCGAAAGAGAGATGAGCACAGAAGGAAATGACAATTGTAGGTGCGAATATATTTCTCGTACAATAACCCCAAAGTAAAGACAAGATATAATCTTATATGGAAGGCATCAGCTGAACAAATGTAGATTTGCTGCTTAAACCGAGGCAAAGATACTATCCTAATCACAGTTAGCGGGAGCACGGGAGCAGGGAGCATCGGGTATTCTGAGGACACTCTAACGACCCGGTGTGTAACTGCAGTGCGTCCGCACGGCTGCAGTTTTAGTTCCGCGTCGGGCCGTTAGAGTGCTCTGATTGTACCCGATGCCACGCGCTCACGGGTTGCCGCAAACTGTGATTAAGATAGTACTGCGAACTTTCAGTGAGCTGACGATTGGGATGCTCATTATTAACAATCCGTGCGTGACTATTTCTCAGAAATATGCTGCGAGGACAACGCTCACGTGCGTTTATGTTAAGTGCGTAGCAGTTAAGTTGCTCTTGTCATTACGTGAGTGATTCCTTTTTAGCAGCTGCTGCAGTCACTTTTGCGATCGACACTAAAATGTACCTTGCCATCTATCGGAGCATAGAAACTTTTCATCCGTTAGAGAAGGAGTGGCCAACCCAATCCAATGTCACTTTTTTTTTTCTCTCGCAGCGGCTACGACCGCGTGCCCCTCAAGGTTCGGCTCGGGGAGTGGGACACGCAGTCCATGAAGGAGTTCTACCCGCACGAGGACTACGACGTGGGAAACATCTTTATTCACCCCCACTTCAAGAATAGCTCCCTGTGGAACGACGTCGCGGTCCTGGAGCTCACGCGCCACGTCCACTACGCCCCTCACGTGTCTCCCATCTGCCTGCCCAAGCTTGAGGATGTCTATGAGGGAAGCCATTGCGTCGTCACCGGCTGGGGCAAGGACGCCTACCGTGAGTGTTGAGCAAGATAGTGGTTGACCAAGCAGTGTTTATTATAAGAGAAAAAAGTATATTTAAAGTCAAAGAATGAAAGGGTCAGTAATTGTAATTGTGTACAAGGGAAGTTAATCAGGCTCAATGGTCGTGGTGGTGTCTCAGCTGTAGATGATTAATTTAGTTGGTGGTGTATAATTAAGAGCCTGGTGCCTTTGCCTGGGATTTTTAGCGTGCATCACTCTAAAGACCATATCGAATCAGGCAAGGGTGGGGATTGAAGCCAGCATCTCTGGGTTCTGCAGCGCGATCTTTCGCAACACGCGCTACAAGCTGCCGGGCCTTAACACAATGAGCCGGAACCTCGAAAGACCAATGAAATCGTGTGGTTTCTACAACCAGGCCGATTGAAAATTTCGAGGATTCTGGTACAAGAGAAATCGAGGATAGATATATACAAAAATACCTATATGCGCACGCGCGCGCAAATACACGCATACATTCACACATACACACACATACACATGTACATACATTCCCGGCTGATGTCCCCGCAATATGACGAAGGCATATTGCGGAAAAGGCGCCGTGTAGCCGAGCTTTCGGTTGCATAAAAGATCCCTAGGTGGTCGAAATTAATCCTCAGTCCTCTGCTGGGGCATGCCAGATGCCCATCGTTGGTTTGGCACGTGAAACTTAGATTTGACTTTGACATATATATGTATGTATATGCATGTATATATGTATGTATACATGTTTGTATGTATATATATATCCTAGCATTGCGGAATGTTTTTGTGGCTTATGGCTTACTTTCACTATGAACGAAAAGCGTGTGCTGCACTCTTGAGCATTGATTGCGTTCTACATCTTGGTGCAGTGCATATTGAAGCTTTATACCTAAAAATTGTTGTATTCCACCTCTTCTGAGCTGATCCCAATTCTACCCACCTGTTGTTCATCATTCTTAAGGAATTGGTCGTTCACAGTCACGTAAAATAAAGAATCATGAATTGATGTAGACGTGCAACCGCTGTTGCATGAAGACGGAGAACAACCTCAATGGCTCTTTCGAGTTAAAGTTGACGTTTCCTTCAGAAACAAATACATTGAAAACGTACATTTGGTGTGGTCCTTTTTAAAACACAACTAGCGATGTTCGTTTTGTGAAGTCTAAGAAGCATCTTATTTCCCAATTTAGGAGATTAAGGTTTGTGACGCATCTAATAACCGCTCTTGCTTTCTTGTTGTTATTCCAGGAACTGGCAAGTTCGCCAACATCATGAAGGAGGTCACGGTGCCCGTTATCGACAACCCCACCTGCCAGAACCTGCTTCGGCAGACTCGACTTGGACGCTATTTCCGGCTCCACGAGGGCTTCATCTGCGCAGGCACCGAGGACGGAAAGGACTCCTGCAAGGTAATCCTTCAAATTGAGTGGTCGAAACTTGACGTCAGCAGTTTGCCTTTTGCGCAACGGATATCGCGTGAAGCACTGAAGCTGCACTTAGGAGAAACTACCTCATGACTTGGACATTTTGGTCAAAATCGATTAAGGTGCGAAAGTACTTGAAAGGGTTTTCGGACGAGCAGCACTTGCCATTACAGTTGTATGCAATAGGAAGCCTGGCGAGCGACTTGCGAGTGCATAAGTGCCTTATTCATCCATGCACATCTTCTTCCGGGGGTTGGATCGTTCTCTCTGAAACGCTGCAATACATACAATCTGGCCGTGAAGGGACTATATTATTGTAGTAATACGTAGTTCCTACTCTGCTTCACAGCCCCAGCTTCTATGCATCTGTGGTGTCAGCCCACTGCTTCCCCTCTCCATACCTGCGTAGCGCGAGAACATTGGTCGCGCGCGCTCAGACTTTGAGACTACCAGCTGCGTTTGTAGCTGGCTCGCTCTCCCAAGCCTTGCTTTCCACTGCGCGAGAAACGCGAGAAAGCAAGATACTTGGAGGGTCCCCACTTGAAGCTATTACTTTTAAGACCTCACGGGAGAAACCTCGCCACCGAGGAGAGGCCCAGGTTTCATTCAGGTTTGACGAAATCTGTAATAAGCGTAGCGTAAATAGCGGTTTGAAGGTACCATTCAATATTACTTTTTAGACTATGTAAAAAAAAGTTATCTATTTATTACTACTGACTGTCCTTCAGAATTTTTTTGGTAGGAACGAAATAACCAGCGTGTGCAAACTTGCTTTTTTCCTTCAACGATACTTTTTTTTTTTTTGCAAACAAACTTGCTGCAGCGCTTTTTCCGTGGACATTGGTGCCCGTAATGTTTACTTTTTGCGCAACATGCGAACGTGTAGATTCCTGGAAGTCGCATATATTCAAGAAATAACGGTTCTTTTAGAACACGTGCATCTAGTTCTGAAAAGGTGCTTCAATCATATGCATTGCTATGTTTAAAAGTGTTACTACCGAAATTGCTTAGCCAATTGATTTGTACACTCGGCGGAGTTCAAATGTTTAAGAGGAAAGACACTGGCTAGGTGGCACAAGCTACTGCCCAATTAGGGGGTTTAGTCGTATGCACAGGTCCACCCTTTTCAAGTCAGCACAAGGCCTCCTCTTACTATGGCTAAGGTGCCTGGAATGCGCCTCCGACTGGTGTTTACCACTTCTTCACTTGTGGTCCCTCGAGTTCAACCTTCTGACGTCATAAATTCTGGTGGTGTTACAGCAGCGAAGGTGCCTGTTCTGTTGTAGGACACTTTTGCAGCAGTTCACGGAAACTTAACTAAGCAGCCACGAATCGTGACACCGCGACTACAGCGACACCTACGTTCGCTCGAGCTTTCTGCTAAAGCTTCTAGATTCAGCTGCCAGGGTCGCGACATCCAATTGGTGTTACATGGTACACTAAATTACGTAATTTGTTTTGAATTTGGGACTAATCTTGATACAGGGGTGTTATAGGACGCTGAACACACCACTTCAAGACGGGTTTCAGGCACCGTACAGTCCCAAACAAAAGGAGCGCGAACGACGGAGTGACCTCTCGCGATCGTCGCACCACTCAACGCTCTTCAGCGGAACCTCTTCCGCAGTTTGCGCGGTGTGGTTTTAGAGTATCGACGGTGCCAAGTGACCGGCCCTTTCAGCAAATAGAATTCGCGCCTATTTCTTTCAGTTTACCACTTATCACCGCGCCTTCGCCGTGTTGGCAATGCGGCACATGCATTTGGAATGCCTCGTAATGACGCACTAAAATTACCTTTCATCAGTCGCACACTTTTGTGTGAAATGCATAACTCTAAGATAGGCCTAAGGCTGATCTGTCTTTTTTTTATGCGTCATCACCGGTGCATTCGAAACGCGCGTACCCCATCCTCAACTTCGGGGATTAGTAGCGAATACGGGGGAAGACTAGAGCAATTAGGCCCGACTTTTATTTACTGAAACGGCCGGCCATTTGGCACCGTCATTATTCCCAAAAGGGACCACGTGCTTCGAGAAAACTCTGACGACTGTCGAGTGTCTGGAAGAGGTCGAGAGGCTGTCGCTCCGTCCGCGTTTCTTTTGTTCGGGATTATACCTTAGGTGCAGGGACATAGAAGTGATCCTGAAGTGACAGCATTTCGGGTATCAAATCAAGATGGCGGAGTATTATACTGTGGGACGTCCCGATTCAAGGAATTGGTCTGAGAACTATTGCAAAAACAACAAAAGAAGCTTGCAAATGCACACGTTGCTCTTCGTATTGCCTCAAGGTGATATAACATAGAACTCAAGAGCGACCTGCAGCAGTAGAAGCGTCTGTCATATCCACGTTTGCTGCAGTGCGGTCGCCAGGATGGCGTAGGGAAATGGCATACTTTTATGACATCAATGGGTCGCGCCACCTATTGACATCAATAGGTCGCGCCACCAATAAATGGCGCCAGTGTATCCAAGAGGATACACTGGCGTTACCTATTGGGTATCCGTGCAACGCGCAGTTTTTGCACAATTCCTATTTTGTTTCGCAGATGTATTTGTTTTTGGCCCTAAAAATATTAATAATGTTAAACACAATTTGTTCCAGACAGTATGCACTACCAGCACAGAATACCGGCGAAAGCCGGAACGCGTGGACTTCGTTACATGATCCGCTATCTGGATGGGATAAAGTTGAGCAGTGGAAGCCTACTGAAAAATATTATATGCATTTATTTCTGAACTGTTTATTGGACACTTTTTCATATCTGAACTTATTATTTCATATCAGTTTCAGCTAGGCTAGGTGGCGCTAGGTACCGCCCAATTCATGTGCTACAAAAGCATTATTATTTACTCACGCTACCATGCAAATACATTACGCATACCACTAGCATTAGCTGAACATATACATTGAGCAATACACATACGCGGCACAGCAAACATGAATACCACAGCACACCCGATAACTAGAGCTCTGCGTTTCCGCCTTTTATACTGGTCGTTTTGAAGGTACGAATTTTCTCGATGACCACCTGAGCAATAAATAATATTCCCAACATGCTGGTTTATTTTCAGTAATGTCATACCTCTGAAAGTATTTTGAACGGCTCAGGGGATGAATCCTAGTAAAAAGTGAACGGTAATGCCTCAATTATTTCAAAGCCAATAAATCAAGCCGCTCCACTGAGGTTCAAAACCCCGTGTTCGCCTTCTCGCGCGGCGCGTCGTATACTGAAAAAAAAAAGAAGATATGAATGTATTTCTGATATGTTTATTGAACGCACTGCAAATTCTGATATGAAAGTCATATAAGTTAACATTTTAATCACATATGAACTTTTATGCTGCATATCAGTTCTCCTATGGGGCATACCAGTTTCTGAGTATTTCATATCAGTTTCATGTTGCATATCGGTTTTTGGATATTTCATCAGTTTCATATGTCGCATATCAGTTTTTGGATATTTCATATCAGTTCTTATATGGATTCATATAACTTTTTTCAATAGGGATGTCCAGAGGAGCGTGCTCGCAAACGGCGGCGCGTCACCGGTAGCCACAGCAGACTAATTAATAGAAGCGTGCGCGTCTGGATGTGGGATGCACGAGCCGAAAATGGCGACGAGTCGCCGGCATCCAATAGGAGCGCCAGCGGCACGATTAAACGATGGTGGTACTTGGATGAGTCAGAATATATTGAGGTACTTAGCCCACAAGGTAGAGAAAAGAACAGGACAAAAAAGAGGCGCTACTCAAAACTACGTTTACTGACAAGAAAAGAGAAAGAAAAAAACCCAAATAATCCGCCGCGGACTCGTGCATCTACCACCAGCCAAGTGAATGATAGTGGCTCGTTCATCCAGGCTCGTGTGGGCCCTTCATTGTTTGTTGAAGGAATTCCCTTTCCTTGTTTGACAGCGTTACGTATTCCACACTAATACAATTCCTGTCCTCGGAGGATGTAGAAGGCCATCCAGTACCTCGCGGGTCAATTTGTCTTTGTTCTTCCCCAAGATGTTGGTCTCGCCGAATAATGATCTGCATGTGGGATCCCTGCAAATTAATTGGAAGATTTCCGCCCACTGTAGGCCTTCAAGGAGTAATAATTTCTCTCCTGTTCTTTTTCTCTCTACCAATTGTGCGCTAAATACCACAATATGTTAGACTACCAACTAACTCAAATGTCAACTTCAGTGGAGTCAGGATATCCAGCGCTTTAGTGTGTTCTCTCGCTATAAGATATAACAAGAACTCTGTCCTAGGCAAACGCGAGTATGTGAAGGGGCCTTTAGGGCGCAGCAAGGTTCTTCCATTCACGGTCGCCTTCTGTGTTGCAGGGAGACGGCGGAGGACCGCTGTCCTGTTACACCCCTGATGGCCGCTACCACCTGGCTGGTCTGGTTGCCTGGGGTATCGACTGCGGCACCCCTGAGGTTCCGGGAGTCTACGTCCGGGTGGCCAAGTACATCGACTGGATAGCCGAGGTTACCCGACAGCCCCTCAGCGAATTTTATCCCAAGCCATAGGGGACTGTCAAGAAAAGATACTTTGACCTTTCTAGAAGCACCATTTACAGAATGAATGACGTTGCTAATTTTTTTCTTTATTTTATTTTATAAACGTTGGTCTTTTTTTTAAAACATTGAGGTCTGTCTCCCGATTTGGTCTTGTCAAAAACCATATTGGATGCAGTGTTTTTTTAAACTGCCAAGGAAATGGAACAAGAACAAAAGAAAAAGGGGGCTGTTCAACTCGTTTTTATTAGCGGGAAGTGTATGTCGAAGTACATGTGCGCAGTGCGTTTCTTGTACATATTTTATATAAAGCGCCATCTTTTTACATCGTCGTTTTTTGTCATTTCTTCCTGGTGCTCTTCACATAGATTGTAGCAAACTTTTAGAATGGCCAACAACATTGCGGATCAAAGATGCCGTAGTCGTTTGAAAGCCACCCTATTCTCTGACCTCGTCACCTTTAAAATCTCTATTTAAAAAAAAAAAAAGAATCCGTTTGTTAAGACAATACATATTGTCTGCTGCACAAAGGTGAACTACCAAAAGTAGTTTCGCCTCTTGTAGAAGCCCCAATGGCGCCATAGCGCAGATGTGGCGTCATCGGTGCCATATTGCTTTATTGTGGAAGTGTTCGTCTCCCCAACTTCAGATGTAGTTCGTTGTTTATATAAATTTGAGACGTGCAGCGAAGCAAAAGCATCTACCTGCGTTGAACTATAATTACATTATCATTAGTCATGGTTGCAAACTTATACTGATTAGCAAAATCAAGACTTGCATCCGACAAAGACGTGACACTCGGTAAAAAAAACCGGGTAGTCAAACGCGAAACAATTAATTGAAACAACTGTATAGTCAACTGGGCCCAGCAGATGTATGTTCGAGAGTATCAGGTCGTTCGCACGGTAAGGTAACACGAACTCGAATACAAAAGTAATTAAGACCAACAAGGACTCAATGTAGCGGCCATAAGGTCTTAAACCTGTTTCGCGCTGCAAGGTTTGAAAACTTCGTAATAAGATTGTAAACAGAGCCAGCGAGATATGGCGTCTGTGGTTGGATAGCCGTATTGTTCCTGTATACGCTCACTACGGGAGCCAAAGTTGTGCGTTCAGTCATCTTGAAATCCTAAGTTATGCAGAAAAGTCTATCCTCGCGCGTGTAGGAGCCGTGCTCTGTCGATTGCGGCCGCGTCACGCGACTGAACTCGGCGAAAAGAGATGCCGCGCGCGCCGTCGCGCATGGAAAACTGGCAAGGCGAAGGAGGAGGCAAAAGCAGGGGAACATACGCCGGGGCACGTGCAACGCCTTTGTGTAGGTCCGCCATTTTGCTCTCGAAAGCGTCAAAATGTTTGTGAAAAAGCCACACTTCGTGTTTGTATGAGACGGGCGCGCTTCCGTCGTAGACGACGCTGCGCTCGTCTGCTTCGGCGTACTCACAATGTAACAGCGTACTCCTAAAACAAGCACTCTATAGGTTGCACGTACACAAAAGAAACACTTACACAGCGCTGACTAGAACTCTTAGTGCATTTCTATTTCGCCCTCGTCTTTTTTTTACTCTTACGGACTAGGAACCAGATATAAGAGATGTATTTTCTTCATTTTTATTTACTAGAATGCCAAATCTAAAATTACCCTGATGCCAAGCAGTCTAGTTCTTTGTGGGGCACAATCATGCTTTATGGGCGCAATCATGCTGAAGGTCACGTAACGGCCGTGGCTGAAGTGCAAGGTCACGCAATCGAGGTACCCGTGGCTCAAGTGACCGTGGCTGAAGCGCCGGTCGCGTGAGCGCCGGTTGCGTAAGCTCCATTTGCGTAAGCGCCAGTCGCGTAAGCTTGTAAGCTTAAGCTGACGTGACCTGACGTCCTTAACGTCGTCCTTAACGCCGTCCTAGAGATCGTCCTGGAAGTCGTCTAAGACGGCCGTAACGTCGTCCGTGACGTCCTCCTAGAGGTCTTCCATGGTGCCGTCCTCGAGGTTGTCCTTGACGTTGTCCTGGGCGTCGTCAATGATGTGTGCACGGTATATTACAATCATTTCATCATTCTACCAATTCCTTTCCTAATTGTTTTCACTAACGATTTTCATGCAATGCTACGGCATTTCATCGCGTTTGCTCGAATGAACGTGCGAGCAATCTTTTGCAGCGGAGCTGTAAAAGATTGCTCGTACATTCATTCGACCAATGGCGCCGTCTCGCTGGTATCGTTGTGTTGGCAGAAATGCTTATCGAGACTCAATTATTTAACCCTGTTCGAAAAGTGGCACCTGACCAACGAAGACAGTACCTACAAAGAAGTTCTGTAGAATAAAATTGCCGTGCGTGGTACGTACCCACGTTGTCTCCCTTTGCTCGTTATTTTATTATTGCCTGCTTGTATCGCCGGTACAATGTTGGGCATTTTCTCGGCACTGTGGGTTAGCGTTCAGTGCAAGAAAAAATCTGCTATAGTATATTTTTTTGGAACACCACTCGAGCTCGCCACCGAGGGTTATGTTTTCGATCACGCACCGCCCAAAATTCTTCAAATCTTTTTTTTTAGGCAAATGATATTGTAATGGACCAATCAGGAGTTTCCCGGCCCACCAACACCGCCACCGACAACAATGCCGACACCAACAGCGACACCGACGCCGACGCCGGCTTTTCTGCACAACGAGCTCTTTAAAGCTATTGCTGTAAAAGGAAGGTGAATTGGCGGGTGCATGGCACTGGTCTCAAGGCGTGGAAGCAAACTCGTCGGGCGTCCGAACCCGGGTTCATTTAGGCTTGCCCCAAAAACTCCAGCGGTACTCAAACGGCCTTCACCTCCCGAAGCAGATTGGTATGTTTCCAGGCACACCAAGACAGCGCTGGCGTTTATCCCAGAACGTCGGCGTTGACTCGTCCCTAAACCTCGGCGCCATCAGCAGCCTCAACGCATCAATCAACCGGTGAATTCTTGCTAGAAATTGTCGTGCGAAGTTCTTTCTTTTTGATTTCAACTTAAACGACCGCTACTGTTAGGGTTAACACCAATATCTTGTCTGTCTGAGGGCGCATCTCCGTATTTCTTTCTCTCTAGTTCTTTACTTTGTTTTGTTTTCCATCTATCGTGTTTTCTCTGTGGTCAAATGGCTTCCTTTTGGTTTTTATCTCCACTCGGATCGGCTCCCAGTGGTTGAGCACTCGATTGACCGAATCCCGTAAAACCCTAACACTGTGCTTTGTTATCGAAAGTCGAATCATGAGTGTCACTTCGCGCAGTTCAAACTTGATACCGGAGGCTTTACACATTTACATTTAGGTCTTACACGAAGCCCAGAAAGAAAAGTATATGATGAGAAAACAGTTAAAATTGTGGTTCAAAATATAACAAGAAGGGTCCTGGTTAGCAGCTTTTTTTTTAATCTTCTCCAGTTCATGCACTTTGTTTTAAGGCGATGTTTGAATGGCGTGAGGGTACAATGTGCACACACATCAATAAAGTTTTCACGCAGTGATATCACGTTCACTACACCCCGTTTCACACCAAGTCCGAGCGCAGCTGACGCTGTTTTTCGACGGAGTCGATCAAGCAGAGCCGAAAGTGCTTCGTCATCGTGGTCGTTCCTTGTGCGCTTGCTGTCAAGAGCTGTCAAGAGCCGTATTCACGAGACCCGACTAGCGCCTGCTCAACCCTTGCATAACTACGTCGTCGATTAAAATCTTTACGTGGAAGGTGGTAATCACGGCTAAGCAAGCACTCGGTATTCGCCGACCTTGTTTAAGGCTTAGTTGCCCCGAGCGGCTTAGAAGGTGAGTGAAAAATCTTAAGAGAGAGGGGGGGGGGGGGGGGGGATGGTTAGTTGAGTCGGTGTCTAGCGGGTGACTAGCGGCACGGCGCCATGGCGGACTACCATCACCGCTGACCGCCAGCGCGCATGAAGCACTTGCTTTCTTGAAACCCTGGGGGACACATCCAGAAAGAATCGGCGCAGCAAATATTGGGAGAATATACATGTTCAGAGGTTAGCAAAGTGATCTCAGCAAAGCGGTGGACGATGAGAATTTGGTGCGTCGCTGGCAATGCGGCTTCCATGTTTTCCTCCTTGAATTTTTTTTTGTAATTTTCTTTAATAAGCTTTGCCCAGAACAATTAACTTTTCGTTATAACATTTTATTTTTGCTAAAAGATAATTAAATATTAGTTTTTACGCGATGAAATCACCATTTACGCAGTGGCATCCAAGTACGCGTATGCGTGACACATTTTTAAGCCACTTCCGCTAGTTATTTCCGACAAGATAGTCACACGCTTGCTTCGCGCTCGTGAATACCGCATACCTTGTCGCTCCCTTGTCGCCGATTCTTCGCTTAGCTCGCGACTACTCAGACGTGCTACTAACTTTCAAAGAGCGCTAGTTATATAGTCACGCCGGTTGAATAGGGCTGATAATGTGCAGCAAATGCGGCGTGCTCTTGAACTTTTTTTTAAATTTTATAGGCGTGATTTGTTTTGTCGTGGATAACATGCGCACAAAAAACCACGAGCGCCGTGACGACGCACTTTTGGTGCTGCTTGATTGTCTCTCTCCATCGGTTCGTATCGTCACCTGCGCTGGGACCTAATGTGAGACCAAGTGTATAGATATAGACCTACTGAACTTTTTGACGTCACGTCACTGCGGTGGCACTTCTGTCGGCATTGCGCATGCGCAGACCCTTTCCTTTGCCCAGACCAGGTTTCTGCGCATGCGCAGTACCCACACCCGATGTGGGCGAATGCGGGCATGTTTGCTAACACAGTGTATTGGTGTATAGACTAATAAACTCATCACCTTCTGCGACTAGCCACTTTGACTGGGCCGTTGCATGCGACCTCAGCATATGCAGTGGCTCTCTTCTTCAGAATATCATACGCCGGCCATGTGTTTAGAGCCCCGTGACGCAACACTTTCCGCCTCGGTGATAATGGGGGGAAAGATGTATGATTTAAGAGACAAGAATATAACTGTTCAAAATTCTGAATTCAATAAAGTTGCATTCCAACATAAAAAAACACAAAAAAAAACACGTTACATGCGAGAGAAAAAAAATTCCCCCGGGCTTCTAACCTTTAACCCCACCTTCTTGCTTGAAGGACTATGGGATTCCAGTCCATTACTCACATATACCCGTTGCAGTGAGGTTCTCGATTCGGCTTCGTGCGCTTATAGACGTAACCTCCTTCGAGCCCCTTATAATTTCTGTAATTGCTACACCGCAGCTAGCAGCTGGTACTGGCGGCAGATGTATGTTTTTGCTGGCTCTAATTCGTGGCGCTGTAAATTCTCGCTTCTACCGTCTAGCGGTTCAAG